ATGCATAAATAAATACATAAAATGAAAAGAAAGACCCTTCCTTCCCTTTTACTGCTGCTGTTTCTTATGGTATTAAATGGACTTTCCCATAGAGCAGATGAAAAGACTAGAATTTCCTATTTAAATCCTGGCACATACTTGACCATATGTGAGGCACTTCTGCATGTGTTTTAACTTAATCTTCCCAAATGAGATTAAGGGAGGTTAAGTAGCTTGCCCAGCTGGATTTGGACTGAGGTCTTGTGTTAATCAGAATACCACGCTCGTCTAGCTGAGTCAGGCTGCTCCAAGAACTAGAGAAGCCAAGGGTCAAACGAAAAAGTAAGACAATTTCAAAAAAGGTTTCATCCAAGTGTGGTGGCTCATGCCTGTAGTCCCAGGTCCCAGGACTCAGGAGACAGTCAGATCATTGTGGGTTAAAGGTCAGCCTGGGCTACATAGTATGTTCTAGCCAGCCTAGGCTATGAAGACCCTGTCTCAAAAAAAAAAAAAAAGAAAAGAAAAGAAAAGAAAATTGTGTGAACACAGGACCTTGTCCATTTATATCTAGGTATAATGGCACATACCTGTATGTAACCCAGCACTTAGGGTGCTGTATTAGTTACTTTTCTTTTGCTGTGATAAGACACCATGATGAAGGCCACTTATAGAAGAGTTTTTTTGGCTACAGTTCCAGAGGGATAAGAGTCCATCATGGTGGGGAGGTATGGGGGCAGAGGTGGCCAGAGCAGAAAGCTGAGCACTCACATCTTCAAGCAGGCATAGGAAGCAGAGACAGACACTAGAGAAGGGACATGGGAGCCCACCTCCAGTGATGTGCTTCCTCCAGTGAGGTCACACCTCTGGAACCTCCGAAAACAGAGCCAGCAGCTGACCACATATTTGGGCTTATGAGGGGGGCATTCAAACCATCACAGGTGCTAAGATAAGAGGATTGCTGTGAATTCAAGACAAACCTGGGACAACAAATTGGACCCTTTTTCAAAAAACAAAAAAGGCTAGAGAGATGGCTCAGCGGTTAAGAGCACTGATTGTTCTTGCAGAATACCTGGGATCGAATCTCAGCCACCCACATGGCAACTAACAACTGTCTGTAACTCCAGTTCCAGGGGATCCAACGGCCTCTTCTGTCCTCCTTGGGCATTGCACAACACGGGTACATGTACCTACATGCAGGCAATACACACATACACATAAAATAAAAATAATAAATAAAATATTTAAAAAAAAACAAAACAAAAAAGCCGGGTGTGATGGTACGCACCTGTAGTCCCAGCACTTGGGAGGCAGAAGCAGGCAGTCAAGGCCAGCCTGGTCTACATAGTGAGTTCCAGGACAGCTGGGGCTACAGGGAGACGCTATCTCAAAAAAAACAAAAAAAAAAAAAACAAAACAAAAAAGAAAAGTGAGATTAGGAGGAGCGCGCATGTTTTCTCAGTCATGAGGCCCTGAGTTTGACCCACGACACCAGGAAGGAAAACAGAAAATTTACCTCGACAACAGGTACCGACAGTTGTAAAAACTTTTCCCTGTTCTTCGACATAGTAATTTCATTTCTAGAATTTGTCCTAAAAGCAGAATCGTGGAGACACATGAGTGTTCATCAAGGAAAGTTGTGTAATTGGAAGGAATTAGGGATGTTGGTGTCCGTCAGGGAGAAGGCTGAATAAACTGCATTGTACCCGTGAAACCCTGTGCTATGGAAGAATAAGACAAATGTTTGTGTGTGTCACCTGCAGGCACAGCAGCTCCAGTTTAATTTAAAAATACTTTGTGGACTAGAGAGGTGGCTGCCCAGGCGTGAGGACTGGAATTCAGATCCTCAGAATCCACATAAATGCCAAGTCATTCCAGTTTCACAATGTGGAGACAAGGGATCCCCGCAGTGAGACTAAAACCCAGCCTTAACGGCTGTAGGTTTAATTAGAAACACTCCGTCATTGGATAAGAAGGGCAATTGAAGATGACTCTCAACATCAACCACAGGATTCCACACGCGCGCGCGCGCGCGCGCACACACACACACACACACACACAGGCAAACTTTACACGTGCCTATGCACATACAAAAATGGACACATGTGCCAACACACATGCCAACATGCGCACTCACATGAACATAGAATAAGAAAAAAATACTTTGTATATCTTCATAAAAGAGGACTAGGGACTGGAAAGATGGCTCAGTGGTTAAGAATACTGACTGCTCTTGCAGAGAATCTGGGTTCAATTCCCAGCACCCACATGGCAGCTAAAGGCTGTCTATAAATCCAGTTCCACGGCATTCAATACCCTCTTCTGTCCTCCATGGGCAGTGCACGACACAGGTGCACTTAGATACATGCAGGCATAACACTAATACACATTTAAAAAAAAAAGAGAGAGAACTTGAAGTATTTATACCCAAATAGCCTGTATTTGAATAGGAAAGCAAGAAATGTTTCATTTTTTTAAATCTCTTCCTCTTGAAGTCCACAGTTATTACGTATACATGGATTTTGGGTTGTTTTATTTTTTGGGGGGGGGGTCTCATTCTGTAGCCCAAGCTGGCTTAAAACTCACTGTAGCCCAGGCAGGTTTTGAACTTGTAATCTTCCTGCCTCAGCTGGCATTACAGATGTGTACACTATCACATTTTTGTTTTTAAAAAAATGCCTTTTTTGTATTTTGTTTGTTTTTTTGAGACAGGGTCTCCCTTGGAACCATAGCTGGCCTTCGGAACTCACTATGTAGACCAGGCTGGCCTCTGTCTCACAGGGATCCATCTGCCTCTGTCTCCCAAGTGCTCGGATTAATGGTGTATACCACCATACCCGGCCAAAAATATCCTTTATTTTTGAGGAAAAGTAAATAAACTAGCAACTGTCTAACCCTAAAGTAAGACCCACCACTTTGAGTGGTTTTGAGCTCCCAGGTCTTCACAGAACTGATGCTGGGTGTCGCTGTGGTTTCAGGGGCTGCTGCTGGCACAGCCGAGCTGCTTCCCTCCCCCAGCAGCTCCCTGAACTGGACTGTTGGCCTCCCCACTGACAACGGCCATGACAGCGACCAGGTCTTTGAGTTCAACGGCACACAGGCGGTGAGGATCCCAGATGGCATCGTGTCCCTCGACCCCAAAGAGCCCTTCACGATTTCCGTGTGGATGCGACACGGTCCGTTTGGCAGGAAGAAGGAGACGATTCTCTGCAGTTCAGACAAAACAGGTTGGTGTGTTCCTCTTCCTAACGACGTTCGTTTGTCAGCGTCCAGTGGGGTGGCGACTGCAGGCAGGTGCCTTTGCCTTTCCCACGGCCTCCATTCTGAATTTTATGTTGGGGACGCTTTGTCCTCAAAAGAGACAGCACTGGCAGTAAGTTTATTAGTTTCACTCAGTAAATTATCAATAGTTCTCAGTAAAACCCGTGTGTATCTCCCTATATCCTGTCTTGGCCCAACTAGACAGTTCATTTATGCAAATAAAATTGTGTCTTTAAAATCCATTAAGGAAATCGTCCTTCCTCATCCCTTGGGCCTTAAGTTGGTAATTTACCCATAGACACTGTCTTTGCAGATATGAACCGACACCATTATTCGCTCTATGTCCATGGGTGCAGACTTATCTTCCTCCTCCGCCAGGACCCTTCTGAGGAAAAGAAATACAGACCTGCAGAGTTCCACTGGAAATTGAACCAGGTGAGCAAATCCGAAACATGCCAGGTACTGTCTTTAGGATGTGGTGGCCCGTGTGCGGTCAGCGTCTGCTCATAGGATAGCTTCTACGCTTACCTGTCGTAGGACAGCAAATCAAACCCACATAACTTTTTCCCACCAGAGCCCACGTTTTCGTCACCTGTGCACTTTATACATAAAATGCTAACAAAAGATTATGTATGTTTTAGGCCAGTAAGATGGCTCAGTGGGTAAAGGTACTTACCGCCAAGCCTGAACCCGAGTTCAGTCCCCAAAACCTACATGGTGGAAGGTGAGAACTGACTCCTGCAAGTTGTCCTCTGACCTCCGCACATGCTGTGACAAGCATGTGCACACGCTTGCACACATCCAAATATAAACTAAGGGGCCGCAGAGATGGCTGAGTGGTTAAGAACACTGGCTGCTTTTGCAGAGGACCTGGGTTCAGTTCCCAAAACCCACATAGTGGTTCACAGTAATCTGTAACTCCAGTTCCAGGGGAGCTAATGCCCTCTTCTGACCGCAGCAGGTACTAAATAGAAGTGGTGCACATATACACATGCAGGCAAAACATTCATATATACTCTTTAAATATTGTCAAGTGTGGTGGCCCACGCCTTTAATCCTAGTACTTGGGAGAGAGAGGCAGGTAGATTTCTGAGATCAAGGCTAGCCTGGTCTACATAGTGAGTTCCAGGTCACCTGAGGCTACGGGGAGACCCTATCTCAAAAAACAAAACAATCTTCAAAAATAAACTAAATAGGGCTGGGCGTGGTAGTGCATGCCTGAAGTCTCACACTCAGGGGGCAGAGGCAAGCAGATCTCTGTGAGTTCCAGGCTGGCTGGGGGCACAGGAAGACCCTGTTTCAAAAAGACAAAAAACAAACAAAACAAAACAAAACCAGCAAAAATAAAATAAACATAAAATGAGTATACATTTTAAACTAAAATATTGTTATGATTTATTGAAATAAAGAGTGCTGGGGCTGGAGAGTTGGCTCAGCAGTTAAGAGCACTGACTGCTCTTGCAGAGGACCTGGGTTCGATTCCCAGCACCCGTATGGTGGCTACGAATCGTCCTTAACTCCAGTTCCAGGGGGAGCCGAAGCCTTCTGACCTCTGCAGCATTGCACAACATGGGTGCACTCACATACATGCAGACAATATACTCATACAAATAAATAAATAAATAAATAAATAGTGCTGTCTCAAATATTGGCTTTGAGAATATTTACTTATTCATCATTGTTAAGGCTGTGGCCACCAAACTGCCAAGAAACTCTGAAGTGACTTCAGCAGTTCAGGGTTACCACAGGATGTTTTAAATATTCAAGTAACCGTCAAGCTCAGCATCTTTTAGATGCCACACAGACCGCTGGTCTGAGGTAGTATAGTTTTGGCAGGAGACCACATTCCATTCATTTGGGTGATGTCATGCAGAGCTGATTTTCCAGCTGTCCCTATGACAAGCATGGGGGAGTGTGTGTGTGTGTGTGTGTGTGTGCGCGCGCGCGCGCGTGTGTTAAAATATGTCTGTTGCAGGAAATGGGGGCGCGGGGAGTGCCATGACCTGAGACAGACTCACTGGCGTCAGAGCACATGGTTGCCTCTTGACTAGGATTGTGATAGGGAATCTTTGGCTTTACTTAGCCCAGTTTTACTTGGTTCATGGAGTCAGTGGACAAAAGCTGACAGATTGTTAGATGTGTCTGGGTTTGCTAAAATGTAATGCTGTCTAAAACAGTTCGCAAGATCCACAGAAATCTAGGAGCCAAAATGAGAAGGGAATGGAGGCTGTGGCTGTGGAGGACAGAGCGTCCACGAGCTTGTGTTCCTCTCTTTCTGATGCAGCTTCTATTTACATAAATAATTCTTTCTCAAAAGCTTTTACCATACTTTTTCCCAGAAGCTAAAAAAAGGTATACTTTGGGAAAAATACTTAGCAACATACATAGAGATTTTTGGGTCTGTTTCTGTGTTATGGTAACTGTAGTCTGTTACATATTTAAATTCTTTTTTGCATATTTGTGAAAACTTGATGATGGGGCCTGGAAGATGGCTCACTGGTTAAGAGTACCTACTGCTAGCTGGGCATAGTGGCGCATGCCTTTAATCCTAGCACTTGGGAGGCAGAGTGGGAGGATCTCTGAGTTCCAGGGCAGCCTGGTCTACCTAGCGAGTTCCAGGTCAGCTGGGGCTACAGTGAGACCCTGTCTCAAGAGTACGTACTGCTCTTTCAAGGACCTGAGTTCAGTTCCCAGTGTCCACATCAGGCAGCTCACAACCACCAGTAACTCCAGCCCCAAGGAGATCAGATGTCTCTGGCCTCCATGGGCACCAGGACTCGTGTGTGCACACACACACTCAGGCCCCCACACATACACCTTTTTTGGGAGGGGTCTTTTGAGACAGGGTCTCCCTGTAATCCCAGCTGGTCTAGAACTCATTATGTAGACCAGGCTGGCCTTGAACTCACAGAGATTCATCTGCCTCTGCCTCCCAAGTGCTGGGATTAAAGGCCTGTGCCACCATACCCAGCTTAAAGCAACTTCTTTTTTTTTTTTAATTTTATTTATTTTTTATTATATGTGTATGCATGTATTGCCTGCATGTAGGTAAGTGCACCCATGTTGTGCAATGCCTGCGGAGATCAGAAGAGGCTGTCAGATGCCCTGGGACTAGAGTTACGGACAGTTATTAGCTGCCATGTGGGTGCTGGGATTCAAACCCTGGTCTTTTGCAAGAACAACCAGTGTTCTTAACTGCTGAGCCATCTCTCTAGCCCTAGAGCAACTTTTTGATGTCTGCTGTTGATGGAGGATTGGGCAGCTCCCAGTTTGGGATCCCTGGCCCATGGAGAACACCTGTTTGAAACACCCTAGAGATGATGGTGTTGCCTTGTCCCTTTTTGGTGGGATGTGTTTGCAGGATCCTGTCTCGTTGGATTTTTTTTTTTTGGTCATTTTGAGACAGGGTCTCCCTGTAGCCCCAGCTGACCTGGAACTCACTGTGTAGACCAGGCTGGCCTTGAACTCACAGAGATCCATCCACCTGCCTCTGCCTCCCGAGTTGGATTTTTTAAGAGTCTTTCTTTCTAGGGGGAATTCGTTGTGTATGATTTGCATTCCACATCCAGCTCTGTTGCTCCACCTTGTGTCTTTGATTGAGGAGCTGGTAGATATTTCGTGCTTACTTTGCTGCCACAGGTCTGTGACGAGGAGTGGCACCACTTCGTCCTCAACATGGAATTCCCAAGTGTGACTCTGTATGTGGACGGTATTTCTCATGAGCCCTTCTCTGTGACTGAGGACTACCCACTTCATCCAACCAAGATAGAAACTCAGCTTGTGGTGGGCGCTTGCTGGCAAGGTAACAATCATGAGTCTCCCATTCCCCCGTCTCAGGAATTAATGAACACTTCGTTTCTGTATTGGTGGAGCAGATTCTTAGTATCTTGCCTCCTTTACCCTCATGTCCTTCATCTATGAGTGGCCTTTTAGGGGGCTCTACTGGTGCCATCTACAGATGTTTATAAAGGTGTGTTGTGGACTAGAGCACCATCACCTTTCCCTGTGAATGTGAGAGGAGTGACACACAGAAGGAAAGTGTGATTGGGGAAGTAGTCTATAAATTGATCTGTTTACAAAGCCAGAAGTAAGAGTCAACTATAGGTAGGTACAGAAATGTAAAGATAGCCGGATATGGTGGTACATGCCTTTAATCCCAGCACTTGGGTGGATCTCTGTGAGTTCAAGGTCAGCCTGATCTACATAGTGAGTTCCAGGCCAGGTGGGACTACAGGGAGACCCTGTCTCCAAAAAAAACAAGAAATGTAAAGAACATAGAAGTATCTGGAACCGCAGGCCTCTTCCAAAGTATTTAGTGCTTGACACCTTTGTAGGAACCTGACTGGGGGACTTGGGGGGACTTTCACCTTCATTACACTCTGCCTTGGGAGGGCACTCTAGAAGTCACTGCTGAAGGACTAGGTGTGGGATAATCTCCACGACCAAACAAAGCTGTGTGAGGTTTTCCTTCTGTCATCTCAAATAATCCTCCTGTTCCTGAAGAAACTGAGGCTCAGGCAACCCTGAGATTACTCAGATGATTAGCACAGAGCTGGGATTGAACCTGAAAAGCCAGTGTACCCAGGACCCATACTGTGGCTCACCAGAGAGGGTTTGACTGTTCCCTAAGAAATGGAGACTTCCTGGTTTGGTGAAACCTGTGAACCCTTTAATCTATAACATATAACACACTGGTTACTTGTGAGATCTAGGTGGCCAATTAAATTGAAACTTCAGTCAGCACACTAAAGTATTATGGACTAGCACAGTGCTATCCATGACACCTTGTTAACAGGTAAAGAAGAAGCCTTAACACAGGGCCGCTGTGAAGGGCTTTGTGACATGCTGATCTCTGTGCTGCTCTGCAGTGGTATGAAAACATCCATGGTTCTGCTGGTGACAGGGTCATGGTGACCGCCGACACAGCTCTGGTTTGCAGCCTACATCTATAACCCAAGGAAATAAGTTAGTGGAAATAAGTATTAACCATTCTCATCCAAGGTCAAGGTCTCATCAGTCTGCATTGGTGGGTCAGGAGCCCTGCCTTACCCCTCACTTCCTCTTAGGTCATTTCAAAGTGTCACCCCAATGCTACGTGTGCTTGATGGACTGAAAACCGAATTCCCAAGGCAGATTTATTTTAGAATTTTAATTTCATAGTTTTTCTCCAAATTCTTTCAAAAGCAAAGGGATATGATAGTCTATTAAAGGGGCTGGAAGATGGCTCAGTGGTTAAGAGTATGTACTGTTTCTTTTTAAAAATATTTTAAATATTATTATTTTGTGTGTATGAATGTATTGCTTGTATGTATGTAAGTGCACCTGTGTCATGCAGTGTCCACAGAGGTCAGAAGAGGGCATCGGATTCCCCTGGAACTGGAGTTAATGAGTGGTTGTTAGCCACTATATGGATGCTGGGAATTGCTTGCATGTATGTGAGTGCACCTGTATCGTGCAGTGCCCACAGAGGTCATAAGAGGGCACTAGATTCCCCTGGAACTGGAGTTATGAATGGTTGTTAGCCACTGTGTGGATGCTGGGAATTGAACCTGGGTCCTCTGCAAGAGCAGCCAGTGCTCTTAACCTCTGAGCCATCTCTCCAGCCCCTGAGCATATACTGCTTTTACACAAAGGACCAGAGTTCAGTTCTAAGCACCCACTTTGGGTGTCTCCAGCTCCAGGGGAACCTGACACCCTCTTCTGGCCTCTGAAGGTACCCACACACAAGTGTGCAGACACACACACACACACACACACACACACACACACACACACACACAGACAAATAAAATGACAAATCTTTTCTTAAAAAGAGAATATTGAAGGCTGGGCATGGTGGCGCATGCCTTTGATCCCAGCACTCAGGAGGCAGAGGCAGGTGTATCTTTGTGAGCTCAAGGCCAGCCTGGTTTCCATAGCGAATCCAGGCCAGCTAGGGCTACAGAGAGACCCTGTCTCAAAAAGACCAAAAAAAAAAAAAAAAAGAGAGAGAGAGAGAGAGAGAATATTGAAATGAACGTCTTCAGTAGGCACCCAGTGTAATGTTGGTTTGTGATAACTGTCCATGAGGAAACAGGATTTGACACCAAAGGGGAGTTTTCCAGTTGATGTTGTTTCTTAACTTTAAATTCAAATATGCTTCCTAAACAATAATTTCTGAAAAATAGGAATAAAGATACAAGCTGAAGCCTAAATGAAAATTTCCATCCTGGGAGGCTTCCTGTTTGGCTAAATAGGCCACCCTTGTCCTGCCCTGCCTTCTTTGGTCCTGTTTGTGGCACAGGACCGCCATCATCAAATAGCCAAAGCGTTTCCTCATTTCTGTCTTTTGTCCTCAGCTCTATCAATTTTTTCAGCCCGATAGTTCTACCTAAATTCCCACACCAAGCCAACACAAATTCTTACAAATTTGGTTAGCTTGGAGGGGAGGGTACCCTTCGCCTTTCTGTGGCTGTGAAGCCCCTTTCTTTGCCAGTTTGCAATGGGGGAAGTGGGCCGTGGGCAGCAGCCGCGTCTCCGTGGGCGGCAGCGTTGCCTCTAACCATGTGTTATGGAAGGATCGCAGTGGGTATGGAGGTGGTAGATGGCTTCACTCAGCATAGGTCTGGCCTCGCCCATCTACACACTTGTTGCACAGGAGTTGTAGACTGTAGAGGCCAGTGTGGCCAAGCAGCTGTAAGGGGAATGTGTGGATTCTGTTCAGCCATGATTATGTGCCCACCAGTAAGGCTTCAGACTCTGTCCCCTGATCTGCTGCCATAGAGGTTGTGAAAGCCCAGACCTGCTGTGGGTTGTTATCTGGGTGAGTCCCTTAGCCAGTCAGTCTCCCTCATGCTCAGAAACTGCTTTAAAAAGTCTTCTCGGTCACTTAAAGTCCAGAAAGTACAGACTCACATGTTTGCACATGTAATGCCCTGGACTCTGGTGTGGGCTCTCCCATTTTGGAGATACTGGTCCAAGGGTAGATTGTTTGCATCTGGTCAAGAGTCATAGTCAGGACCAGACCCCTTGGAAGTGTCCTGCTTCCTAACCTACGCTGAACAGATAACGAGTTCAGCACACCTGCGTTTGTCTTATTTTGAATCTGATTTGTGTTCCGGCATGGAGACTATGTGACGGCGGTTTAGAAGAAAACCCCAAAAGAAGCACTGGGGGTCCACTTCTGGGAAAAGGTCATCGAGTGCACACTTGCATCCAGGTGAAACATGTTCCGAAAGACAAGAAGGGACTTTCCCCTTGGGGTTTCATACTTGCTTGCTTCAAAACTGACTTTCTGTCTAGTTGGAAGGCCCTAACTTTGCGGTCCTTTTCGATTGTCTCTGTCTCGCCTCTCCACAGAGTATTCAGGAGTTGAAAATGACAACGAAACCGAGCCTGTGACTGTGGCCTCTGCAGGTTGCTGGACTTCTTCCCCCTCTACAGTTCACTGTAGTGTTCCCTTAAAGAGACATTGACTCATTCCACACTCGCATGAGATGAGCCAGCTGCACTTTGGTCCTGGACACCCTTTCAAAGCTGCTTGCCTGCATCATGTTCCCCCTCGCCTCCCAGGACTTCCTTCCCTGCCCACCCCATTGGAGTGGCACAGATGACTCATCTGTATAGGGCACTCACGGGATTTTTAGTTCAAGTTCTACCCCAGGCCCACTGCATGAGGCTCCCCACTGAAAGTGCCAGGCTGGGTTTGGGAGGCCACTTCGTGATGCTCATGTGGCTGAGCCATAGAACAGGAAAAGACTTGTGTCTAGATTTTCTGTCCTGATTGATACTAAATTTCAAACAGACATTTCTTAGAAATAGCTATCTGTAGCGGTGACTTGCCATGCCAGGGCCCTTATCAGAGTGAGACCCGCTGCTGAGCATGTGTCTGTGTCCTTCATCTGTAAAGTCGAGGTGCAGCTTGTGGCTCTGTGTTGTAGTCTGTCAGAGTCCATCCTCTGGATTTTTTGTTTTCTTCATCACACCTTCCCTGCCCTTTGTCCTCAGATGGGGGGACTTAACAGAACAGCTCCCTGAGGCCTGAGGACATGGCTTATTACATAAAAGCGCTTGCCATGCAAGTGTGGGCACTGGAGTTCTGATCCACAGCACCAGCATAAATGCCACATTATATACAGCAGCCTGCCCGTATGCAATTCCAGTGCTCAGAAGGCAATGACTAGGGATTTCCCTGGAGCAAGCCAGCTAGCCGGACTAGCCATATGGTGAGCTCGGGGTTCCAAGACTCTGCCCTAAAGAATAAGGCAGACTCCTGACAACAACCTCAGGCTGCCCCCCCCCCACACATGCACCCATGCACATGTGAACAAGCATATATACATGCACACACAACAACAAAACTCAGCTTTTGTGGGGGGACTTTTTAAGGAACCCATTACTCCTACCATGCTTCTGTTCTCCCTGCCCCCATCAGTCTGTGTCCTCAGAGCCAGGGAAAGCAGCCTACAGCTGCTCGGTGGTAGTAGTTGAAGAGGTTGGTGTTAGGAGGGTGTGTCCCTGTGCACCGTCATGCTGTTGCTGCATGGCCACCATCCGCAGGGAGTGAACAGATGTATAAGCACTCTGATGGGACCTCTAGGCTTCCAGGCTCTGAGTGAGGGGACCCCCCCCACCCCAGCTCCTCTTTTCCAGGCCATGTGCATGATCATAAATGATTTAATTTCTTCATTACGCTTCCATGTAGACCGCAAGGCTAACAGGATTTGGGTTTGAACTAACCTGCATGTCCACCCATCAAGCTGCCATCACTGGTAACACTGCATTGAGAGATGATCAGGAGCCTCCCAGCCACAAGGTTGACTTGTCCTTTCCTCCCCTGTTCCGAAGGTGGTGACCTGCACATGACGCAGTTTTTCCGAGGTAACCTGGCAGGCCTCACCGTCCGCTCTGGGAAACTCGCAGATAAGAAGGTGATTGACTGCCTCTACACCTGCAAGGAGGGACTAGACCTGCAGGTCCCTGAAGATGGCAGAGGCGTGCAGGTAAAGTTGCGTGCTCCTCTGTATTCATTCCTGGTCACTAGATAAGGGAGTCTGATGGAGAAGGTAGCCATTGGGGATGGGAGGGTGTTTGCACATGAGATGTTATCCTTATTTAAAGAGACTTGGGATTGGAGAGATGACTCAGAGGTTAAGAGCATTTGCTGTTCTTCCAGAGGACCTGGGTTTGATTCCCAGCACCTACATGGTAGCCAACAACTGTTTGTGTTTGTAACTCCAGTTCTAGAGGGTCCAATACCCTCTTCTGGCCTCTGAGGGCTTTGCATGTACATAGTGCATTTACATACATGCAAGCAAAACACATAAAATAAAAATAATAAGGGGCTGGAGAGATGTCTCAGCGGTTAATAGCACTGGCTGCCCTTGCAGAGGACCCGGGTTCAATTCCCAGCACCCACATAGTGGCTAAACCATTTGTAGCTCCGGTTCTAAGCCGTATGTAACTCCAGTTCCAGGGGACCCCAATGCCTTCTTCTGACCTCTGTGGGCATTGCATGATACCAGTGCACCTACACGTGCAGGCAGTATACTCATACACATAAAATAAAATATAAATAAAATACCTTATTTTGAAAATTATTTATTTTTGTCTTTTTGAAGCAAGTTCTCCCTGTAGCCTCAGCTGGCCTGGAACTTGCTATGTAGACCAGGCTGGGCTTGAACTCACAGAGATTCACCTGCCTCTGCCTCCCAAGTGCTGGGACTACAGGTGTGTGCCGCCATGCCTGGAATTTTTATTATTTTTTTAAGTGCACCTGTGTCCTGCAATGCCCTCGGAGGACAGAAGAGGCTTTTGGATCCCCTAGAACTGTAGTTATGGACAGTTGTTAGCTGCCGTATGGATGCTGGGATTTGAACCTGGGTCTTCTGCAAGTACAGCTAGTGTTCTTAACCGCTGAGCCATCTCTCCAGCCCCATATACTCTGGAGGTGGAGGCAGAGGCAGGAAGAGCCCTGTGAGTTTGAGACCAGCCTGGTCTACAGAGTGAGTTCCAGGACAGCTGGGGCTACAGGGAGACCCAGTCTCAAAAAAAATTAAGTAAATAAATAAAATATTTTGTTTTTTATTTTTTTAATTTTTAAAAAATATTTTATTTATTATTTTTATGTGTATGAGTATTACACCTGCATGTAGGTAAGTGCACCTGTGTTGTGCAGTGCTGGTGGAGGACAGAAGAGGCTGTCAGATCCCCTGGACCTGGAGTTACGGGCAGTTGTTAGCTGCCATGTGGGTGTTGGGATTTGAACCCAGGTCTTCTTGCAATGTTCTTAACCCCTGAGCCATCTCTCCAGCCCCATAAGTAAAATATTTTTAAAAATAATAATAAAATATTTCGAAGAGAGTCTCTTTTTCAAATGACCAATGCAAATGGTCACTCTTGCCAAAGCACCCCAGGCTTCAGTTCCTCTTTGTTAGAACCTTGTTTCTCTCTCTTCTCTGTCTGGCATGACCTCAGATCCAAGCAAGCTCCAGTCAGGCGGTGTTGACCTTGGAGGGAGATGATGTTGGAGAGTTGGATAAGGCCATGCAGCACGTTTCCTACCTCAACTCACGGCAGTTCCCCACACCTGGCATCCGGAGGCTCAAAATCACCAGCACGGTCAAGTAGGTCCTTCCTGATTTTTAGCAATCTGCATCTGGCCACATCGGGAAGTGCATTTCTGGAGGGTCTCCTGGCTCCTGTCCCCTCTTGAGTATATAGAGTCCCCCATAAGCCTTTGCACAGATACCCATCTGTTTCCCTGTGGCTCTCAAAGCCCTTAGCCTCCCTTCCTCCTACCCTGTTTCTTGCTAACAGGTGTTTTAATGAGGCCACCTGCATTGAGGTGCCCCCCGTCGAAGGCTACGTGATGGTTTTGCAGCCCGAAGAGCCCAAGATCAGCCTGAGCGGTGTCCACCACTTTGCCCGAGCAGCTTCTGAGTTTGAGAGCTCAGAGGGCGTTTCTCTGTTCCCTGAGCTGAGGATCATCAGCACCATCACTAGAGAAGTGGAACCTGAAGGAGACGGGGCCGAGGACCCCACAGGTGACAGTGCTGGGCCTGGGTCAGTCTCCTTGCCTTGGCTGGAAACTCCTTCCTGGGCCCTTTTTCTGTGGGGTTTTTGGGAACTGTTGACGTTTCAGTGCTGTACTTGGGTCTGCTTCTGGAGTCATTATGATCTTTGGAAACCCTCGTAGGGGCCCTTCTATCTCTCTCTGATTGACATCAGCTTCTGAGACATAACTTGAGGGCCTACAGGAGAAGTCTCCCCACCATTTTCACTGGAGACTCATTAAGTACTCTCATTTATCGGCTTACTTTGTGCCTGGCCTGGCACCTGGGCTTTCAGTTTACTAATCGCCCTGCCTTCCCAGCCCCCAAGTTTTTAAGGTGACACTTCCCTGCGTCAGCCTTGGTCCTTACATTCTGGCTTTGAGCTTAAGATGACTGCCCGACCACGGGGGTTGACTGGCCTTGCCGGGCCCCATGGCCTCTGCAATGTCTGGTTGGACTGTTTCTACAGTTCAAGAGTCCCTGGTGTCGGAGGAGATTGTGCATGACCTGGACACCTGTGAGGTCACAGTCGAGGGGGAAGAGCTGAACCCGGAGCAGGAGAGCCTGGAGGTGGATGTGGCCCACCTACAGCAGAAGGGCATTGAAATAAGCCACTCTGACCTGGGCGTCGTCTTTACAGGTGAGAGGCTGGAGCAGGGCGGGGAGTGAAAAGGGAAGGTAATGCTCTTGCCTGTGCAGCCTGCAGATATGGAGCAGTGGCGCTCTGCCCAGGGAGCGAACTGGGCTTTACAGGGTGGGGGTGTAGCAGCACATTCCCCTGAACTCAGAAAACCACAAATGTGGCTCATTGGCTCAGCTGATCCAGGTGCCTGACTCGAGACCCCCCAAGCCCCCCCCCGACTCTGGTCCCACCTAGGTTCTCTACTTAAGCGACTCAACCCATGTCTCACCTTTAACCCTACAGGTGTGGACACCATGGCCAGCTACGAGGAGGTCTTACACCTCCTGCGCTACCGAAACTGGCACACCAGGTCCCTGCTTGACCGGAAGTTCAAGCTCATTTGCTCGGAGCTAAACGGCCGCTATCTCAGCAATGAATTCAAAGTGGAGGTGAGTCCAGGGCGCCCCCATCCCCACCCCAGAAGGACCAGCAGTGGCAGTATCAGTGCCCTGACTCTTGACCCCAGGATTTCAGACACTGGCTTTTAGCACATTCTTGGTCACATCCATTAAGGCTCATACCAGGGGTGGCCTTGCCCAGCATGGGGTCTGCTGCAGGGTAGTAGATCTACAGGCCTGGAGCAACTGCTGACCTTGTAGGGCAGAGGTAAAGATTAAGTGGCACAGACTGTAAGGAAGGACAAGGGTGTTCCCTGGGGTGGCATGTGTTAAAGACTTGAGGGTAGTGTTCTAGAAAGAATGGCCCCCAGAGAACCAAAGTGTCCTTGTAGTGGTGCCAGATCACTGGCCTTGTTGAGAGTAAAGTTGGATCCCTGGCTGGGCGAGTGCTGACACTGCTGTGGTCACTCTGCGGCCACAGCAGCCAGATGACAACATGCCTGCTCTGAAGCCTTTAGCAGCCTCTCCACACCACCTCATTGATCTGGGCCTCTGTGGTCCGGAGAAATGGACTCCGAGTTGCTTTGAGCAGTCGACCGTCTCCACTGTAACCTCAGTGGTGGCAGAAGGCTAAATCCACAATGCTAATGAATGTTTTACTTGAGTCAAAGAGTAACTGATTAGAAAGGCAACAAATGGTTGTGATTTGTGCTGTCTCTCATGTGGCCAGGTATGTGGTTAAAGGAGGGAAATGGTTTATGTCAAGCATTTCCCAAGGGACATGGGCCAAGGACCGGTGATTTGTTTTCTATTCTGTTGTGATGCATTATAGAATGCACTATAAATAAGTCATTAGAAAAGTTCTGTGTTTCTTGGATGTATGACAGCATCACATTGTTGTAACAGTTGTAACGTTCTCTTTTTTTATGTGGTCTTTTTGAGACAGGGTCTCTCTGTGGCCCCAGCTGGCCTGGAACTCATTATGTAGAGCAGGCTGGCCTTGAACTCACAGAGATACAGAGATTCCCCTGCTTCTGCCTCCCAAGTGCTGGGATTAAAGGTGTGCATCACCATGCCTGGCACAGCTGTGAAGTTCTTAGTCTTGATCTCTTTTCTGGCCACAGACTAGCTTTGCTGGCTCCCAGCTCCGGGCAGAGACCCCTTAGAATAGCATTGCTGTCTGTGGCAGACTGGCTGCAAGTCTGCCCTCCAGGCACTCAGGATGCCAGCCACATGATTTTCTGTCTCTGCTACAGGTGAATGTGATCCACACAGCCAACCCTGTGGAACATGCTAACCACATGGCTGCCCAGCCACAGTTTGTCCACCCTGAACATCGCTCCTTTGTTGACCTGTCTGGTCATAACCTGGCCAATCCTCACCCATTTGCAGGTAGGACTGTGGGGTAGCACATAGGTCAGAATGCTGTGACACCCAAGCAGGGTCCAGATGGATGCTTCCTCCACCTGCCTGCCAGCACAGCCTCCTGCTCATAGCCACCACCTGTCACACTGTCCCAAAACTGTCCCCAAACTCTCACATGCAAGAAAAGAAGTCGGGCAGAGCCACAGAGCAAAATGTGAGCATGCTAGGTGTGACTCGTGTGGGACTTTTTCTTGTGTTTCCGCCTAGTCTTCGGGGGTCAGGGGAAGCTCTCTGACCCACCCATTTTGACCTAGAGTAGTTGAGGTCAAGTGTAGGATGGCTGTCTTTGTAAAGTGTCACCAAAGCTCTGTCTGGCCTTCAAATCCCATGGCAGTTGTCCCCAGCACAGCGACTGTTGTGATTGTGGTCTGCGTCAGCTTCCTGGTTTTCATGATCATCCTGGGGGTCTTTCGGATCCGAGCTGCACATCAGAGAACGATGCGGGACCAGGACGCCGGGAAGGAGAATGAGATGGACTGGGATGACTCCGCCCTGACCATCACTGTTAACCCCATGGAGGTAGGTGCAGAGGAGCCCCCAGACTTCAAGGCACCACAGGCCAGGCCAAAGTGAGGCTCACCATGAGAACAGTATAGCCACAGGCCCTTCATGTCCACAACCCCTTGTGTCTACATGCCTGTGTTATGTGGGTTAGTGGGTCTGTTTAGATTCTGGGGTCTCTTCAGGTGAGTCAGCCCAGGCTCAGAGGCCTTGTTGAAGGCCTGTCACATTGGCTAGGAGATGTGGACAAACTTTGACTGGGCTCTGCGAGCTTTGCTGCTTTACCCTCAAGACATTTCTCGTAGAACAGAGCACCATCCCCTAGCAGGGAGCGCCCCCACCCCACCTGCATGGATTCTGTGGACAGAGATCCGAGCTTCATTTCCTCTGTTGCCTTTGATGAGGCAACTCTCAGTGCCGCTCGGGACCTCTGCAGTTCCTGAAAGTGGACATTGGGCGATAGGACACAAACTATACTCATGCATGCTACCTCTTTACCAGACGTATGAGGACCAACACAGCAGTGAGGAGGAGGAAGAGGAAGAGGAGGAAGAGGAGAGTGAAGATGGGGAAGAGGAAGAGGACATCACCAGTGCTGAGTCGGAGAGCAGCGAGGAGGAGGAGGGGGGTCCGGGAGATGGCCAGAACGCCACCCGGCAGCAGCAGCTGGAGTGGGACGACTCCACGCTCAGCTACTAACCGCACGCCTGCCCTCTATCCTCAGGAGACTCTGTCCTAGCCATTTCCCAGCCCCATGGGTCCACGATGTACAAAATCATTTTGGCCAGCAGGTCTGCAGACCCCTCCCCCATCGCTGAGTGTCCACCCGTGCTTGGTGTGTAGGACCGTAGGCTCTCACCCTCCCTGTGCCCGATCGCGCTTCCAGTTAGGCCAGGAGCTGGCATTTCCTCTCTGGCCACAGTCGTGGTGCAGGGGCCCCACAACACGGCAAATCCCATGTGTGTCGAGTCCCCTGTCAGCCAGGGAGAGGACACCAGCCCCTCAAGCCTCCACAAACGCTGCAATGACTGGATTTGTTGACAAAGGGTAAAAATCACTCCCACCCGGTAATCATTTTTCCTTTTATTTTTTTTAAAAAGTTTTTATTTTTTCCAAACTAGTGCATGTATAAAACAGCAGGATGGGGGTTAATATGTAGATGACCAATTGACTTTTTAATATTTTGTAAATAAATTGGGATTCTCTGTGTTTTTTTGTGCTAGTGTAGTCCAGGACAGGAATGGAAGTGAAGTCAGAAAGCAGGTGCAGGAGGGACCCTGGACTCCTGCTTCCTCCTCCTTCCCCTTCCTCTGTCCCTTCTTCCTCCTTTCCAAGAAACCAGGTTGGAGAGGTTCAGGTCACTGCGGGCCCTGCTGGGGTGTGCCTGTACAACTAGGTGGTCACGAGTGCTGCTTGTGGGGGACCAAACCAGGGTTGTCCATGCCGCCCCCCCCCCCAATGCTGTTTCTAGTTTGCTGTTGGAATGCAGGTGGCAGAGGCCTATGGCCTCATGCACTCCTGTGACTGGCAACAGCTTATGCCACAGCCTAGACTGTGCAGCCCTGTAGTTAATGCTTAACAAACATACGGTTCCCTGTGAGAATACATGTGGATCACAGGGAACCTCCAGCCCTTGTGCAGTCTGTGTTGCGCCACCCGAAGACAGCAGCAGGCCTGAGGGATCTACACTAGGGCTTCCCAACGGACACTCTAAGGTCCAAAGACAAAGAGCTAGAATGACCCAAATGTTTTCTTGTCTCTCTCCCCAGACCCTCCCCCCCCCCAGGATACCCCCTTGCTGTCAGGGTGGGGGTAAGATCCACACCCCAGTAGCCAAGAGCCCTGATGCCTGTTTTGGCGGTGAGGTGAAAGGAGAGAGCAGTCATGTCTAAGCCCACACAGTACTTGGCTTTTCATTCACATTTTAGACTTCTCCACCTGGGGGAATCTGTGACTCTCATTGCTTGTTTCAAGGATGCTGTGTTGTGTGTGGCCACCTTCCCATGTCCTGTCCCTGTAGCTGCTCTGTTCAGACAACTGAAAGATGCTAACGCAGACAGGGACATTCTCATGTGTTGTGGCACCGCAGTGACCCCTTTGAGATGTGTATATTGATGCTAGGTCAGAAAGTGTATGCACTATAATAAAGTTCTGGTTCTAACTCCAGATTGAGTGGGGTCTCTTCTGTCTTAAATGTTTGGAGTTTAGTTTTGTTTTGAGACAGGGTCTCACTGTGGTAGCCCTGGCTGGCCAGGTCGCCTATGCAGACCAGGCTGGCCTTGAACCTAGAACAATCCTCTTGCCTCTGCGTCAGTGCTGGGATTACAGGTGTATGCCACTACACCCATGCCTGGCTTTTGGTTTTTCGTTGTTTTAAAATTTTATTTTTTTTTTTATGTTTTGCCTGCATATACCTAGTGTATGTAATGTCGTCAGAGGCTAGAAGAGGGCATCGGATCCCCTGGAACTGGAGTTTTGGATGGCCACTAGCTGCCATATGGGTGCTGGGACGGGAACCTGCAAGAGAGCAGCCAGAGAGGTTAAGATGGCTTAACCTCTGAGCCCCATCTCTCCAGCCCCTTGTTTTTATTTTTATGGTACTGAGGCATGTACACAGGGCCTCACCCATGCCAGGCAAGCTCTACCACTGAGCTATAGCCCCAGTTCCCCGTTTTGTTTTTTGTTTTTTGTTTTTTTTGAGACAGGGTCTCCCTGTAGCTCCAGCTGTCCTGGAACTCACTATGTAGATCAGGCTGGCCTTGAACTTAAGAGATCCGTCTGGGTGCTAGGATTAAAGGCGTGCGCCACCACGCCTGGATTTTGGGGGTTTTTTGTTTTTTTAATTTTTATTTTATGTGTATTTGTGTATTGTCTGCATGTAGGTAAGTGCACCTGTGTCGTGCAATGCCCACAGTGGTCAGACGAGGCTGTTGGATCCCCTGGGACTGGAGTTAAGACAATTGTTAGCTGCCATGTGGGTGCTGGGACTCTAACTCGGGTCTTCTGCAAGAACAACCAGTGTTCTTAACCGCTGAGCCATCTCTCCAGCCCCCCCCCCGTTTCTTTTTCAGCTGAGAACATAAAAACATAAAAAAAAAGTCTTTTATTTCTTTCCACCTGTCTTTACCTGTCACATCAAGGCTGCACAGACTGGTCTCAGCCCACATCTATGAAAGGAAATTTGCCTTCCCATACAGAAACATAAAATGACTTAAAAAAATAGAAAATATTCTTGCCAGGTACACAGACCATACACCCAACTCAGAAATGCCGAAGGTGTGCAAGATCTGCAGCCAGGAGGCACCTAGACTCGCTTCAATAAATAACATGGTATACATACATACACAAGCTTTTCCCATTTCAAAGCAGGTGTGGGAGGCTGAGGGTTTCCACTCTGGCTACTGCACACAAAACAGGTGCTCTGCAGCGGCACCAACTGGACCCTCAGCTCATCAGCTCTGGGAAGCTGGTACCTGGGCTTCTCGAGCCGCACTCTAGGCTGTTGAGGACACAGATTGGCAATAGTTCTGACAAGTCTTAGGAGGTTACAAAAAGTTCCAGGCCCTGAGGTACTGGCTGATGTATCAGGATGGCCCTGTGCAGGAGTGTCACCCAGGACGGACCATGCATTCAGCATGTGCTGCAACCCTTCTAAAAGGCCAGGTGCCTAGCTTCACTGCCAGAGTGGGTTTTAGGAGGCTCAGACCTGCATTGGTGAGCTGCCCTTTGCAAGCTAAGCCCAGACCACTTTGAATTCAGCCCTCTCACCCTTGTTCACACTTCAGAACCTGACACCACCCCCACCCCACCCCCTGCTGGCTTTCTAGGAGACTGCTCTGGGAGAGATCAGTCCTGTTCTTTCACTAAAATTGCCTCTGCAAGCAGCCTACACTCCTTGCAAAGGACTCCACTTGACTTCCCTTTGTCTTGATTCAAGCACCAGTCTTTGAGTGATGTGAGGACCAGGACACAGGATGCTGAGTGGGAGCTGAGTCCCTCTCCTCAGCCATCGAGTTCAGCTATCAATTTCTTACCCGCAATTAAAAGAGGTGAGGGTGTCCCCGTATGGGAGAAGTCACTTTAGCAGTGCAGAGCAAGTGTCCCTGAGTCTAAAGGGTGCCCTGGCTTCCTCAGGAGCTGCCGGGGCTAGGTCGGTGGAGGTCGTATGGGGTAGGTCACACAAAGGTGGCAGAGGTGAGCTGAGGACTGAGGTGTCCTGTCCGGACGGATGGGAGGCACCAGGTGACTACCAGACTTGACCCAGGCAGCCTGTTGGGAGTCTAGGGAGAAGACCCCTCTCTCCCCAAAGAAGAACAGTCTTTGCTGGGCCAAGACTCACTGGCTGGAAGACTTGGGGTACAGTCCTCAGGGAGCTGCTCACAGTGCTCTGACTGGGGGCACCAGACAGCGCCCCTCCCCTGCACAAAGATGTATTTCCATTTATGGCTGTTCCGTTCCTTAAACATTTCGAGTCATAAATAAATAACCAGTGTAAACAAAAGGCAATTGTGTGGTTCTTTCCCATGAGGTGCAGTTCAGGCTTCTGGGCCCCTTTTATGACAACTGAGGATGCCTGGTCCCTGGGCCAGCAGTCTACTTCTCTCAGACCAAGAGCCGGGAAGGGACCAGTGCGTGGTGTCCGGGAAGGGGCCACTACTGCCTGTTATCTTTGGACACGTTGTGTGCCAACCAGTTCACTTTGGTCTTCCAGCTCTCCCGCAGAGCTTCATTGAACTTCACCCGGAAGTGCTTTAGTGCTTCTTCCTCTGTCTTCCCCAGCGCTAGAGAGTCCTGAGAAACATGACAGAAGGAACAGTTGAGGGAACCTTGTCCCCGCTTTGCTATGCAACCCATAATGAACCCTAAGGAAATGTTTTGAAAATGTTTTATTTATTTTGATGTGTATGAATGTATTGCTTGCATGTCTGTAAGTGCACCCATGTCATGCAATGTGGGAGGAGGTCAGAAGAGGATGTCGGATCCCCTGGAACTGGAGTCATGTATGGTTGTTAGTTGCCATGTGGGTGCTGCGAACTGAACCCAGGTCCTCTGCAAGAGCAGCTAGTGCTGTTAACTGCTGAACCATCTCTTCAGTCCCCCCAAGGGAATTTTAAACTCGTTCCAAAAGGAATTAGAGGCCCCACAGCTCCTTCAGAGAAGCCCTTTACCCATATCCCTAACTCAGACAGGCCCCCAGTCCACTCATTGATTCAGATGATAAAGGTGTCTTGGGCCAGAGGCCTTGAGGTGCCAGGTGGCCTTGACTTAACTGTAGGCAAGAGGGTAGAGCACCTTCAGGGAAGGACCTAGCAAGGTCTGTGGCCTCTGCTACCACACCACCCAACTCCTCAACCTGAGAACGTGGGAGGGAAGCATTTTGCAAGATGTACAAGGAACCTGACCTCATGCAGCCCCTCTGTGTGCAGGGGCTCATGACATAGCCCTGGCCTGTCTTACCTTGAGATATTGGATGTCTTTGGAGCAGCTGAGCTCAGGCAGGCCTGCCGCACGCATCAGGGCAAAGAGGTGGAGGAAGAGCAGCCCGTGGCGCCGCAGAATGGTGTAGGCTCGTTCACAGTAGCCCCGGAACCTGCACACATGGGAGGAAGGACGGGTGAGGTCCTGACATCTCTCCACCACTCCCAACCCAAGGCCAATGGGCCAGTCTGCATCTAAATGGCACTTCCCCCTGAGCTGCTGCCTCTGTCCTGGTGATAGGTATACATAAGTTCCCAGCTCTTCAGGCTGTCCACCCAGCCTGCCTCCTACATGAGACAAACACGTAACCCCCTCTGTCCAAAGAGGGCATATAGGTTTGGAGGTGAGGGTACAGGGTCCCATTCCAGTCTACCTGAAATCCAGGAAGAGGCCAGAAATGGGGCTCAAAGCTGTCTCCGTTCCTGTCCCCTCTCTAGTGTCCCTGGGCACCAAGGGCAGGTGGCAGAGCAGCAGAACCCTCACCTTTCGAACTTCTCACTGTTACTAGTCTTCCCCTGCTGAATGACGTGCACAAAGTCATAGGTGAGGATGAATGGGACTCGCTCACGGTTGATTCCAAACTTGGTCTTGAAGTTCCCCAGAAAGTGGCCAAAATCAATATGGAACAGCTGAGGGGAGGAAAGGGCACAGAATAGGAATTCAGAAAGGAGGGGCTGGGGTGTAGTTCAATAGTGGAGCGCCAGCCCAGCATGAGCATGGTTCTGGATTCCAATCCCAGCATCCTGGGGAAGCAGAAAAAAGTAAGGCAGAGAATGGAGAAGGCTTCAGTTGGAAGTTCCAGGGAAAGAAGAAGCCAGCAGGGCTCGGAGCATCTTCTGGGATGCTGTATGCAAGGCAGAGGGGCCAGCAAGCCAGGGCTGGAGGTCAGACCCACAGAGCATCCATCCACCCGCCCCCTTACCTGCCCACTCTCTCGGATCATGATGTTGTCGCTATGCCGGTCGCCGATCCCCAGCACATACGTGGCTACGCAGTAGCCAGCACAGGACAGGGTGAATTCCTCGATGGCCCGGTCCAGGGCCTCCCTGGGAGGAGAATATTGAAAGCTATGACTACCATGATGCAGCTCCTCTGGCCCCTTGAATCTAACCTTGTGACAGAATGTAGAGGACACTGTGTCAGAGTCTGGGCTTAGGATATATCTTGCTGATCTTGAGCCTGTTCCCCTACTGCCCACGACCACCAAAAAGCTGTGGCTGATTTACTGCATGGGCAGAGGCCAGGAGAAGAGGCGAGACTGACAGCCAGTACCAAGGCACTAGGCATTCAACTAAGGCCACCTCAGACCCTCCACCCAGGCTCGGGCAAAGTCCCAGACGACAGTAGTTGTCTGAATTGTTCCAAGTAAGACCTGTGAAACACCTCAGCTGGGCCCACTCAAGCTTCAGGATGGTGGATTAAGGCTCTAAACACTGAGTAGCATTACACAGCCTTCGGTAACTGACACATGAGGCCTGCTAACCCAGACTCAGGCTGGTCCAAATAGCCACAGAACTGGTCACAGGCCCTTCTCAGCTGATAGGTGAAGCCACCCCACACATTTCCAGGAAGGAGAGGGTCTGAAACCTACCCAGGGTTCTTAGACTTGAGCCAGTTAAGCAGGGCATCCTTGTTGAAGGCGGCTGTGGCTGCCATGTTGCTCTTGTTCAGTTGGATGTTGGCGATGGTGTCAGAGTGGAGGACCACCTCAATGAGGCCTGTGCGGTCTCCAGTAGGGAGGCAGCCATAGGGGGTCATCCTAGGAGAATTGGAGGAGGGCCAGGCTAATGCTGTGATCAAAGGCTATCCCTAGGGCTGCTAAACTCCCAGGAACTTGAGGCACCCAAAATAGTCACAAGGGATATTGCTGCTCAAGTTGCTGAGGAGGGGAAGGACGCCAGGCTCTAGGGAAGCTTTACCACCAGCACCTAAGATGCTGAGGGCTTGGGAAAAGACGTCGCTGCTTCTTAAGATGGGCAGGAAGCCAGGAAACACAGGAGAGCAGAACAGATGGTTGAGTAGCCTTCCCTGCCTGCCTCCAACTTCCACTTCATTCCTGTTCTGAACACAGCCCCATTCCCAGCTGACACAGTAATGATAGCCTTGACCGGGGACCCTGACCAAAGGAGCAGGTTCTGAGGACTGGCACATATGCACAAAGGTGATAGGAGGGCCTCCCCCACCTCAGGTCCAGGCCCTCCTGCTTCCACAGGATGTCCATGAGCTGGATCATCTGCAGAGTCAGCATGTCCTGGCGGAGGTCTGCATGTGGGAAGAAGATTGTGAGTGTCTGGTAGGGTCTGCCTTCCCGCTGAAGCTAGGCCCCCTCTGAATTGTCTTTTCAGTTTACTCCCCCGGGACCACACCCCTAGGCTAGTACAGGAATGGAGGGTGGGCTGGTCAAGGCCTCAGCAGGTTACCCAGCCCTCCTGGCTCACCATCCCCGTTCTTAAAGATGATGCCCACGCTGCCAGCACTGCCCGCCTCCTCGCTGCTGTACATGATCCACAGTGGCTTCATCTTGGAGTCCATGAAAGTGCACTGCTCCACACTGCTGGCCAGAGAGTGGGGTCGACAGAGGCTCCTCCACAGGCCAGAAGGGTGGGAGGAGCCCTGGTGGGGCCAGGCTTGGGGCTCACCAGACTTCCTCCAGCAGGGTACTGGGGTCCAGTGGGGACTGCAGGTGAGACAGGGCCTCCATGTAGGTCTCCTGGCGCATACACATGTGCATCATCTCCTTGGTGTGGGGCTTGGTGGTCTTCTGGGAGCTCACCTTCACAAAGTCATTCAATGCCTTCAGCTTGCTCAGTGCTTCCCCCTGGTGGTGACAATGGGAAGGAGCCATGGACACCAGCATGGGGATGGGGTAGGGTAGACCGGGTGACAAGGACATTCTACAGCCTGGAAGTACAACCTAGCCAAGCCTTACCTGTTTCATCAGCACCTTCATGTGGTGAGTGCTACCTCTGCAGTAGGCCTCCATGATGAGGCCAAAACGCAGGGCCACTGATGGTACGTGCATCTCGGAGCTGGGGAAAAGAAGACAGTACTGAGCTTTGCCAGGCAGAGCTACACAGGCCCTCCCCAGCTCGAGTGGGACCCAGGGTAGCCAGACCATCTGGGCCTGCTGGAAACATGAGGTCAGAAAGCCTGAGGTCTTCCTCCCTGTAGCCCTCGTGGGGTTTTCAAGAAATAGGCTGGGATGCATCTAGGTACCGAAGGTGCCAGAAGAGGAAGTGGCCGATCTTGCGGTTGGCCAAGGCACGGTCCAGCAAGAATTTGGTCAGCTCACAGTCCAGGTAGGACTCGTACTTGAGCACCTGCACCAGCTGCAGCAGGTACTGGAAAAGCTCGTCGTCCCTGCAGGGAAGGAAGGCTGATGGTCTGCAATTGGTAGATGGCAGGGCAGGAGAAAGAGGCTGGGTGCCTGCTTCTGGGAGGTTGAGTCAAAGCTGCCCCCTGGAAAAGCAGGGAGTCTGAGGGTCCCAACACCAACACCCAGCTGGAGCTCACGTCAGTTTCCGTAGGGACTTGATGGCGAAGGAGCCCACGTGGCAGTCCGGGAAGTTGAAGTCCAGCAGCTCCAGGGCACCCAGCACAGGCAGCTCGGGCCAGGAGCACAGCAAATACAGCATCTGTCAGATGTTTGGCAGTCAGGTGGTGGGTGAGGAGTAGCTGCCTGTCTGCCCCCCAGCTCTTCTTCCAGTTGGCCCTCTCTGCCCACCTGGGCCACATCCTCGTGCTTGTTCCACTTGGTGACCAGCAGCAGGCGGGCCAGTGCCTCCGGGAAGTGCTCCTGGACTTCATGCCGCATCTTCCACACCAGGTCTTTCTCATGTTCATACAGCTCCCCAGACCCCCGCCGCTCCAGGATTTCCCGCAGCTGCAGCTGCTGAGGGGTGCAGATAGGGTGAGGGCTCCAGCTCTGGACCCGTCTCCACACCCTGCCCCGGACCCAAGCTCACCTCCTCCTCTGTGATGCGCCCACGTTCTCCATGACGCCCCAGCTCCAGGATCTGCAACAAGTACCCGGCTCTCAGCATTCCAGGCTTGGGTCAGCCTTCTAAGTGCCCCAAAGCAGGACATCTGCACCTCAGCCCTAGTACCTGTGGTTGTCACTGAGGAGACTGTCTTGTGCATTGCACGGCCTTCATCATAGCCTCTATCTACAATATGCCAGGAGCATCCTTCTCACACCAGACATTACCCAATGGTGGACCAAAGAGCTCTTAGAAACCCCTGAATGGGCACTGTGACCCAGCCCCCCATCATAGGCAAATACCAGGGTGGCTTGGGTCTACTTTCTTCCCAGTGGCAGAACCGGGCTGGGAAAGGTCTAGAAGGTGTGGGTCCTCACTGACCTTCTCCAGGGCAGGGAAGTACACAGGATGGGGGGCCACCTCGGGCAGGCAGATGACCAAGGCAGCAGCACTCTCTGTGTTGGGGTTACTGCGCACTGTACCCGCAGGGTTCAGCAGCTCTCCTTTCTCATCTGAACACAGGGAAAGATGGAGTTGTACAGGTAAGATAATTAGCTTTGGGACCTCCATCCCTTCTGGCTGTTCCCCAGGGCTGGGCACCACCTGGGACAGAGGGCCACATGTAGAGACGGCGCTCCCCAGTCTTGAGCTGGTCTTTGTAGTCGAATAGCATGAGGTTGGCCCAGGCGATGGGGCAGTCCTGGAAAGGACACCAATGGGTTAGGGCCAGACACAAAAGCTACTAGCCAAGTGGGAGAGGGGATCTGGGCTCCAATGGAGGTTTCCCAGCTAGACCCTAGGGAAAATCCTGTTTGGAGAGGGACCGTTCACTGCCTCTTTCTTGGGGTGTCCTGGTGATAAAACCAGCAAGGTCCCTTTTGCTCCTAGGTTCCTGAGAAAGCTCTAAACAAGCCTTAGCAGTCCCATCATGGGCTCAGCTCTGCATGCATTAGCAGTATCAAGGGCCAAGTCATGTCCTAGGATTGTTAACTCAGGACCTAGCCCCTGAATATGGCTGCTGGCCCGGTCTCTTCAGTCCCACTGGGAACACTGTCTTTCTACCCAGGGAGCTGCCTGCAGGAGCCCACAGGGTCCAGGGCAGATATTCCAAGGTCCAAGGTAGATATTCCAAGGTAGGCTGCTCATTAGCTGTCCTTAAGTAAGGGAGGAAGCCAGACTAGTGAAGGTAGTGAAGCTGGGGTTCCTGCCTGTCTGCCTGTGGGATCTGTACTGGATGCTTAAGGCCTAGGCCCCTCCAAGCCAGCCCCTACCCACCGCTTTCTTGGATTTCTTCTTGGTGGAGCGAGCCTTCTTGGCTTTCTCGACCACAGCGTATAGGGCGAAGCAGAGCCGGGCCATGCGCGGTAGGTCACAGATGCTGATGTCAAACTCCAGCCGCTGCTTCCACACGGGCTCTGAACACACACTCACCTCCGAGCTAGACACCGTCTTGCACAGCATCTCGTTGCCATGGAAGAGCCCAGCCTGTACCACCAGCTGGGGGTAGGGTGGGGTGTCAGGCACAGGGTGAGGGGAGCAGAGGCCCTGGGTCCCACCCCTCTCCTCTCTCCTCTCTAGGCATTTACTACCAATTCCCTCCTCAAATATCCTCATTCTTAAGTGGGTCTGAATCTACTTCTTCATGGAGGGTGGTTCCTCAGAGGGAAAGTCACTGCCTGAGTAGGATCCGTGGCCGAAGGAGAGAGACAACACAGACTGTGAGTGTGCAATGGTCTCAGAGTCCCTGACTCTGTGGGACCTCAGAGCGTGTCTCTTTCCCGCTCCAAGCCTCCGTTTCTCCAACAGGAAGTGGTAACGCACCCTGGCTCTAACATCCTCAGGCTCCTTTCACTCTCAATCTTATTTCTCATTCAGGAGCCCTGCCCATTTATCCTCCTGGATTCCTGTCACTGGCACCAGGCCTTCCCAGATTGTAAAATTACACCAACAAAAAGCGAGCTAGGCAAGAGAGAAGGCTTCGTTGTGGGCATTGCACAATTGAGACAATAAAACTTCCACCTGGTACGCACTTGTAAGAACAGCTGAGACGAAGCACGTGAAAGTGTTTTGAAGAGTCAGAAAAAGCAAAGAGCTCCTCCACTGTCTTCCCAACCCAGAGGGATCTGGGCCCCCAGGGGATGAGGCCGGCACCCTCCAGGTCTGCAGGCATACCCCACCCAGCGACAGCCAGCAACTCCTACTGCCTCACACCTCCCCAGACGCCTCTTTCATCCCTGAGCTGAGCCTGGCCCCACAACCTCCACCAAAGTCAAATACACAGAAATTGGCTCTGCCTGGTTTCCACGAATCAGTCTCAGGCTGGCTGGCCCGCCCCACTCCCCTCTTCCTGTTTTGAAGCGGCTTATAACCACTCCAGGCAGAGATGCTGGGTAATGTGGTCAGGTGGCTTTCGTGTGACATCTTCCCACTCTTCTTCTGCAGCCACCCCTCCTGGCCACAACCACTTTGTTTGTGCAAAAAACAGTGTCTCCCTCACCTGACCCAGGAGCCCTACCTTCATCCGCTCATCGGCGTTCACTTTGCTGCCCTCGATCAGCTCTATGCAGAATGGCTGCTCCAGGGACCACAGGGACACAGAGGAAGGCTGGGGAGGTAGAGGCAGAGTTGGTGGCAAAGCTCAGACATCTGTCCCCAACACCATCCTTTACCAGAAAGCCTGCTGTGCAGATACCAGGGGCCCTCAACACCCCTGCGATCCACAAGAGGAGATCTGCAGCCCAGACAGATCCCAGCAGACAGGGGTCACCCACCAAAGGCTCCTGGACCCATGACCTTCCTGAGGAGTCACACAACAGGCTGTGGGGGTGGAGCACAGGTGCGAGTAAGAGACAGAGGGAATGGAATACATTGTCTCACCTTCTTGGCAGGAATGGGAGGAGGTTTGGTGCGTGGTTTCTGGACTTGGGGGGCAGGGTTGCTCTGTTCATCCCTCATAGCAAGGATGGAGGAGGAGTGGACCATGGTCAGATGGGGGGTCAGTCCGCTGTGCAAGCAACTGCAGATATACTGGGACAGGGGTACAGGATTTGCTGCCGATAGGTGGCTGACCCATTCCCTAGATAACTGGCTACTAGAAACTTCCAAGCTGATACTGCCTATCCCAAACCTCCAGAGGGGCCTCCCTTTGGTACCTCCCCACCTTCCTAAAGATGGAATCCCTTCTTGTGTTCATGGAAGACCAGCCCAGCAAGGGGATACTGTCATGGTGACTGCAAAGGCCTGACTCATCAGACTCAGGAGAGGCCCTAAGTCCATGGGACCATGGGCAGCTGGTAGCGAGCACTACACAGCAGGACTCACCTGGAACTGGCAGAGCGGGTAGCTGCCATAGAGGTACTCATGCCTCCCATTCACCTGCAGCGCATAGTCCTCGGGCCGCTCCACCAGGGGCTGCCGGAACACTGTGGCCTTCTTCCGGAGGGCACAGGCCATCAGTGCCAGGGGCATGTCCTTAGTAGACACCTGGAAAGTGAAGCTCTCCTGTGGGGGGGGGGGGTCAGGCGAGGGTGGTCAGGCTTCTGCTCCACAGTCCTGGTGGTCTGTGAGATAGCTCTGTCTCCCAAATGTGTCTAGGTGTCCACTGATAAAGGCATCCAACCAACACCCAGGAAACAGAGAACGAACGAACGAACGAATGAACGAATGAATGAATGAATGAAACAGTGGCAGACACCACTGGGTCACTCTGCATTGTCAAACCTGCCTGGTGGGACACCCATCTAAGCCCTTTGGCAAATGCCACCTCATGCTACTGGGAGGAGGAAATTAGGGGGCTGTGGATGACTAGGGAATTTTACATGGGACGTTCCCACATGGGCTTGGAGGCTGGATGCAGCACTCAGACTGGCATCCCTAGGACCAAGGGGCCATGGGGCTCACCTCACTGCCCTCGAACTTCACATTGACCAGCAGGGCTCGGTTGGGGACACGCAGCGTTCCAGGCCCCCAGCTCCTTGCTGAGGGCTCCAGCTGCAGGGGGAAGCTATACTGTAGCCAGGCCTCCCAGCCTAGCTGCTGGCGGAGAGCAGCGGCCTCCTCACAAAACTGGCGCATCTTGGTTCGGAAGTCATTCACTTCTGGGTCTCGCAGGGAGTCAAACTCATGGAGGCCTTTGAGGGTAGGAGGAGGGGGGTTAGACAGTTGGGGGAGGAAGGACACATGGTGCCAGTCTGGGTAACTCGGACTCCCAAGAAGGATACCTTTGCCGATGAGGAGGCTGATCTGTGAGTTGATGAGCTTCTTCACACGGTCACCCTCTCGGGCCACAAGGCGCAGCACAGGCAGGAAGGGCTGGACATCACACAGTCGCCGCTGCTCATCCTCCAGCTCCTGCTGCTCAGCTGTCTGGTTGACACAGGTGAACACATAGGCCTCCGGGTCGCTGAGCATGTGGAAGAACGGCTCATACTGTGCGCGATGCCACAACACCTGGGAGGAATGGTCAGTCAGCCTCAGAGTCCTACCCTGCGGGACACCCACAGAGGGCAAGGCAAGACCCCAAGAAGACTCCTGAGGCCCAACCAACATATCAATAAGCTCCCCTGTCTCTTCACCAGGGTATGCTGAGATTAGGGGCTATGCAGTGGGACCTACATTTCCCCACAAGGCACATGGACCAGCTTTGACTGCCCAGAAGGACAGTCAGATATGACTTTCTAGCACCCCTAGCTGGTCATCAGTTCACAGCCCAGGCTGGCCTCAACTCATGATCCTCCTGCCTCTGCTTCCTAAGTACTGGGATTACAGGTGTGAACCACCATGCTGAAATATATCACATAAAGTTTACAACATGACCCAGGTGTTAAAATGGTCACTCACAAAAAGACATATGAAAGTTCATCATCAAAACTGTCATAAGAGCCAGGAATGGTAGCCCACACCTTTAATCCCAGCACTCAGGAGAGAGACAGGCAGATCTCTGTAAGTTCAAGGTCAGCTTGGTCTATATAAGGACAGCCACACACAGTAAGACCCTGTCTCAAAGAAAAAATTAAATATTTATGTACTGTTTGAAACATTTTTTTATTATGTTCTATTGTGTGTGTGTGTGTGTGTGTGCGTGTGTGTGTATGTGTACATGTGTGCCACAGCAGACTTGTCAGAGGTTAGAGGACAACTTTCAGGAGTTGACTCTCCTTCCAGCATATGACTCAAACTCGGGCTTGGTGGCAAGCACCCTTACCCGATAACTCATCTTGCTGGCCCTTCTTTCTTTTTTTGAGACAGGGTCTTATATAGCCCAGGCTGGCCTCAGACTCACTATGTAGCTAAGGATGATCTTGAACTTCTGACTTTCCTGCCTCTACCTCTCCAATTCTGGGATTACAATTGTGTACCGCCACACTTGGTTTATTAGATGCTGGGATTGAACTCGGGGGATCATGCATGCAAGGCAAGCACCCTACTAACTTAGCTATACCCTCAATGTCCTTTTTCTTATTATCCTAAGTTTCAGTGTACCCATATTAATTTGTAGTGAAAAAAATAAATTCAATTTTAAATAAATCTCTCAGGAAGTTGGGAGGGGGCCTCCAGCAATGACCCTTGTACAGGAGGGACTGGCACTCCGTATCTTTTTTTTGAGTCAGGGTCTCCCTATAGTGGGGCTGGCTTGGAACTCACTATGTAGACCAGGCTGGCCTTGAACTCATAGAGATCCACCTGCCTGTACTGGGATTAAAAGTGTGTGCCACCACACCCAGCTATGACCCTTGTTTCTAAGATTGCTTTTCCTGCTCCCAGTTGCAGCTTTTACAGTTCTGAGGTAGGGGCCAGAGCAATGGCTCAGTGGTTAAGAGCAGTTGTTGTTCTTGCAGAGGACCCAGATTTGGTTCCCAGCACCCACATGGCATCTAACAACCATCTGTAACTCTAGTTCCAGGTGATCTGATGCCCTCTTTTGACTTCAGTGGGCACTGTATGCATGTGGTACACTTGCATACATGCAGGCAAAACACCCACAGTTAAAATAAAAATATGTAATTAAAAAAGAAAATCCTGAAGTAAAGTCTTAGGCTCTGGTGGCCTAAGACGTGACCTAGTAAATCCTCCAAGTAGTAGGTGGCATAAACCTTCTGAAAGTCACACACAGTGATTACCAAATGTCATCCAGATATATGATGCTTTGAGAATCAGTAACTCACCCTGAAAATTATTCAACAAAACCAAAACCTCTTTCTAACAATGGTGTTTTACTGTCGCAGTGACAGTTCTAAAGACAGAGAGTCTGTAAAGGTCCCTTGAGTGGTTGTGGATAGAGTGGTTCCAAAAATGACTGCACGGTCGTGGGTGGGATGGGAGCCCAGCTGGAGGCGGCCCTCAAAGCTGCCTGACTAGCTAGTAATCTAGGGAAGGGAAATACAAACTGTTAAAGGGAAGCTGACTTTGGGATGATAAGGGGAATCTAACCACAAGTTGTCAAACGATTCTTAGAAATTTTATCTTGTAAAATTCACATCTGAGGGACCAGGGTGATTGGTGACCACTCGGTCAGTAAAGTGCTTGCCTTGAAAGCAGGACCTGAGTTCAATCCCCTAGAACTCAGATTAAAAAACAAAACAAAACAAAACAAAAAAACAGCTGGGCGTGGTGGCACACACCTTTAATCCCAGCACTTGGAAGGCAGAGGCAGGCAGATCTCTGTGAGTTCGAGGCCAGCCTGGTCTACATAGGGAGTTCTAGGCCAGTTGAGGCTAAAGGGAGACCCCGTCTCAAAAAGACCATTAATTAATTAATTAATAAAAATAAACACATCAACAAAAACAGCCAAGTGTGGTACTGGAGAGGTGGATCCCTGGGACTTGCTAGCCAGCTAGCCTAGCCTATTCCCCTGAGATCCTGTCTCAAAACACAAAACAAGGGCTGGATGGCGATGCTCTTCCCAAAGTCCCAGGTTTGGTTCCCAGTACCCACATGATTCCTAACAATCGTCCTTAACTCCAGTTCCAGGGGATCCAATGTGTTCTGGCCTCCACAGGCAGTGTGTACACATATGTACACTTACATACATGCAAGTAAAACACACACACAGAACAAAACTAATTAATTAATTAATTACATTAAAATAAATAAGTACACACAAAAACAAGGTGTATGGCACCCGAGGAGCAAGAGAAAAGGCTATCCTCTGCTCCTACAACACACATTATCTACATGTGCACACACAAACACACACATACACACACACAAATTCACACCTGAGAATCTCATGTCTGAGAACAATGTATTAGCCTGACTCTCTGAGGTCCAAAGTCTGAGGACTGGCCTTAAGATAACGATTGTACCTGCTTGATGGTGCTGAGGTTGGCATTGCGGGACACTGGGAAGTTCAGGTAGACCCCTGTGGGCAGCAAGAAGTCGACGGCCACGCTCTGGCTCTCCTCTTTGGTCCAGAACTCCATGGGGCAGTCCACCCCAGGGGGCATCCTGCTTTGTTACTGCTCCGTGGCCTGACTACCTGAAAGAAAAAGCAAAGGCAGAATGAGCCGCCCCTGTTGTGTTGAGGGTGAGGAGGCCTTCGGGAAGTGGGATGGCCAGATCTGGGGCAGCAGGAGACTGTGAGCTGAGTCCCAGCTGGAGGGCACACACTGGGCACCACCCATGAGGCACCGGGCAGCTTGTGGCTCCCACTATCCCAGGCCACCACTTGGGCTGAGCTGCCTCTCATCACATGTGAACACCTGTCTGCCTCCCTCACAGTATCAGTCACAGCCCCAGGTGACTTGCACATCTGTAAGACCGCACAATGGTCAACAGCTTGCCCAGGTGGGAGACGGAAGGATGGCCAGAGACTTTAGAACTTGAGAAAGACCAATGGCTACAATTCTTAGAAACTTTCTAATCAGAAATCAGTTGGCTTAAAAAATGGCTTTGACGCCTGGCATGATGGCACATGCCTTTGATCCCAGGACTCAGGAGGCAGAGGCAGGAGGATCTCTGTGAGATCAAGGTCAACCTGGTCTTCACAGTGAGTTCCAGGCTTGCTAGAGCTACAGGAGACCCTGTCTCAAAAAGGCCAAAAGAAAAAAAATGGCTTTGACTATGCCTGTAATCCCAATACGTGGAAGTGGAGACAGGAGGATTAAGAGTTTAAGACAGCCTCAGCTATACAGTAAGTTCAAGGTCAACTTGGGCTACATGAGGAATATATAT